AATTTATATTTTAGTTACTTAAGGTTTGATTTTCCTGCTTTTTGTCATATTTTGTTACGCTAGTTATTGTTATCAATTTAACGAAGTAGTTGTTTTCAGAACTTTTCAGCCACGTTTGTGTCAAATAAGATAAATTATGTAGATAAACTGCTTAATTTGGTTATAGATTAGATGAGGTGATCTTCGCTCCCGCTGAGCGCATAAGGCGTCGACTACAGATCTACACCGGACCCTGCTTTTTATGACGTTCTCTTTGCCTCCAAACGAGTGCTGATCATGTTTGACATTTCTTTCTGGCTATTGAAGAGAGTTCCGGGAAAAGTAGTTACCTCTAGAATTGAAGTAATTTACCCTATATTGTAAAGTAAGTTTAAATAAACTGCTTAACCTTTCGTTAATTTTTGTTATTTTATTTGTCTGTATCCATTCCTCTCCATTCCTCTCCATTATGTCTATATTTGGGTAGAGGGGGGGAGGGGGAGAGGGTGGGCACATTGGAATGACCATTGCCGACGGGGACGATTGTTGTGACAGTTTTCTACTCAGTCGAACTTTCCCATGCAGTCATCTTTAAGTACAAGCGACTACATTTTTATGAATACCGTCGGTGAATTACTCTACTTTCACATGAAAAATACGTGTGATCTGACGATTTGATATTTTTTTGGACAATCTTAATTGGATCCAGTGCCTTTTTGAACGAGGAAATGGCTAACCGTAAAGTTTCAGTGACAGAGCTTCAGGGCGCGGAATCCGCAGGTCTGATGTTCTATTTCTGAAACGCCCGTGAAATGACGATAATACATATTTCTATGTGTTCTATATGATTAAGAATTGTTTAGTCTGGTTTGTTACTTCTTTGTACTGAATTAACCCTCTTCTACATTGAATTACCTGAAAACTGCATTTATCTTAACCAATCAGAGCTGAGTAATTTTTTCATGTATCTTATTGAACTATTAGTGCAATTTACCGCTTCAAAATGAGGAAACTAAGACAACAGTTAAAGAAATCTGAAACCAAATTATGATTGAGAAATTAGAGCTGGAGCAATTTTGTGACGAGGAATATTAAAAGAAAACCCCAACAATTAAACCAGTTGAGCGTGGTATAAGGACGTCATCTTTATCTAGCAAAAGTCCCGCATGTACTATAGTTTCGATTTGATCATCGTGCAACACTCAGAGCAATCGACCAAAACGCAATTTGCTTTCACGGAAGCTTTGGGTAGGTGTTGAGCTTTGTTTATAACAAACTATTTCTATTAAGGATACATAACATGAACAATAAGTTATAAGTGATGATAAGAAATGAAAAGATCGCACAGAAATTCAACGCAGAAGAACTGCTTCAGATAGCACAGCTAAGGCGGAAGAAATAAATCTCTTCTAAAGAAGTATACAGCTGCGCTCTTACGTATTATAAATACTTAGATGTTAATGGTTGTTCGTTACGGGTAGCCGAACGAAAAAGAAACAAATTATTGCAACATCTAACCATGAATCGCAGAGCTCGGGCATTGATAGTTAATGAAAATTATGAGGCAGTACTCTCCAGAGTTTATAGGTCAGGCAGTTAATAGAAAGCTTAGTCCAGCTTAGTGCAGGTTTTTTTGATGCTGCAGAAATTCGTGAAAAGTGCTGACACTCAATTTGAGCTGCGGAGAACCTGCATGGAATCCGCAATCGAAAGATATCACGCTAGCGTCTGCTTGCATCATGATTTGGTTTTAGTAGGTGGCCAACCGAAAAATCGTTTGCCAAACAGAAAATGTTAATGAACTCGAATGGCAGAAAATG